CCTCAAATTTGGCATTCACAACAATAAATCATATATTGCCGCTGCTACTACTTTAACAAAAATTTTACTTTTTTAAAAACTATGATTGCTACGAGCTGCGTAGCTTGTAGCTGTGTAGTTGCTGCGAGCTTGAAATAGCTGTATATCATTTAGACTATTCCACTCCGATCATTCGAACTGATAATTAAACCGAAACAAACAAGTCTTACAGCGCATGCGTATATCACCACTATGATCACAAATTCATACCACAACAATGAATGCCAAATATTTACTTTATGTTTTACGCTTGTTAAAATAGTGGATCAAGGTTGGTAAAGTAGATGAATAATTAGGCCAAATCGTCATTGCTGCCTTGAAGGAGAAAACGAGAGGCCAAGACAAAGAAAAGAAAAGAAAGCCTAGTGTGACGGTGTTTGGCCTAATTATTCAGCAAACCTCCCAACACAAACAACCTCGTTCCCAGGGCTTTTCCCTTTTTATTGACAAAAAGGGAAAAGCCCTGGGAACGAGGTTGCAACACAAAAAACATTTTCAAATCGATAGCTTTATTTTTTGTTACTTGTCAGTTGTGAAATCAAACTATTATTACATTTTTGCAATTGCTAACTTGCTAGTTTATTTTATCCTACGTTACTTTTCAGTATATTCAAGTTATGTCAGTCAAATAGCGGGCTCAAATTGTAGTCACCGGTTTACATGCAAAACGAAGGCGCGCGCATTTAAATTCTTCGCGCATTTAGAACTGGTTTATTACCGGTTTACTTCGTCCGAATTTTGGACGAACAAAAACGGCAAAGACTTACTGTATTTTCTACGCGTGGGGAAACCAGGCTCTGCTCTCAGGGTAATAGATTTCAAGCAAAAATACGACTGTTCACATGAGACCGAAGAAGTCAAATCCAAATTTCTCGCGTTCATCACAGTCTTCAAAATTTTCAGGAATTGGATATTTTTTCAAATTTCCTAACGATGTATACACGAAGAAAAGCTTGGCCAACCTATACGTCACATTCGTTTCAGGTTTTGAGCGGCATTTCAGAAGGAAAAACTTACACTCGAGTTCGAATTTTCAGTCTACAAAACTATTTTTCAGCTACAAACACTTCTACAATTAACTCTATCGATTGAGATGACTAGAACCCATACACCTTGCATTGGCATCGCCTCAGTGTGTGTACATGAACTTGCTAGAGCTCGACAACTGAGTCTGCAACCTTGTTCCCAGTTCCCAGGCTTTTCCCTCTTGTGGAACGAGGTCGCTGAGTCTGTACCAGTCAGTTAGTTAGAGCGCTGCACTGGAATCACAGGACCGCCAATCTCGTACCCAGAGCAATGCCTGTTCGCGGGCGAGGAAGGCAATTGGCTCTGAGGAAATAGACAAATGGAACCCCTAAATTCTGGGGTTCCGGTTGTCGTGAGCATGCTCAAAAGCCCAACCGGTTAAACGCGGGACAAATAGTGCAGACTGCAGACTCCAGCGTATTATTTATATTTGGTAATCATTCATATCATTTCATGATGAACGTTATGAATATGAATTGATTTCTACTGATCAATGTTAAACCAATCACGGCACAGGAAAAATTATATTTCCCCAGACGGCCAGAAATAGTTGCATTTTCGCAACTGCTTCTGGTTAGGTGTAATAAATGTATAAATTTCTATCTACGACCCTTCTACAATTATTTGTATCGATTCAGATGCCCCAAATCCTGATATTTAACTAAATACAGTCTAATACACATTCAAATGCGCGAATCAAATCGAAACGTTGACATCCCCCCGGGCATGCCCCCGGGGTTTGGAATTTGACGTTTGGATTTTGACATCAAATTCCCTGCATATATTTGTTATTCCCGTTCAAATATATACACCAACCACGTATTGGGAAAAATCGGAGTGCAAATACCCCACCCCATGTACGAATTGGAAGCTACAGCATTTCGTAATTTTGAAAGTACGAAGTTTTTCTTTCCTTCAATAACTCTCTTCAATCGTTCAAAGCCATTTTCTTGTAGCCAATTGCAACCAAGGACAAAGTTAATTCCTTCGCACTTTAACTCATCCATTGACGCCATTTTGGATTCAACACACGTGTTTAAAAGAAAAATTCAAATTCCCGACCCCCTTAACAAATTTCCTACCTTCCACTAGAAAAAAGGTCAGATTCCCGCCTTCTTAAAATACGAAATAAACAAATTCCCCAGGTATGCTTCGGGGGGGGGGGGGGGGGG